TTTTCTGTTGAGAAAAAAAAAAACGAACAGTGAGAAAGTTATGTCTTTTTATCTGATTTCATTTAAAGCAAATCATGGAAAATTTTTTTTAAGATTCACATTTTTGATATGGATAGTTTGAGAATTATGTGTTACCATCAGAGTATTACCACAGAAATTGACAGTAAAAATTCTTAAATATCATAACTGATTGTAGTCAATATTGACACCCAAGAATTAATATATATCTGAGAAGAAAATCCCAGATCAGCAGAAGGAGTCTAACCCTTTGAACAAAACGGAGAGCTGCAAACCAAAGACCCAAAAATGTATCGTGCCAAGTGGTACCATTTACTGCTTGAAGGGTTTTTGTCAAACCTGCATGATATGAAACCTTAGACCTTTATCCTCTAGATGCCGCTTTTGGTAAAACTGAAGCTGTATTTTCATTAAAACAATTTTCTAAGAAACAAGGATAACTTCTGTCTTTACCGGTTAAAATCTCAATGGCACTTGTTGCATTTACTTGATAGCCATCCATAACATCTTCCAGTACCAGATCAAGGGGAAGCCAAGGTGCAGAACGACTAGCCCCATGACCCAAACCCATAACCACATGGCATTTTTTTGGCACAGTTGTTTTACGTTCTCTGGACAACAAAATGCAGGGGTCTGATGTCAATTGCAAGAGAACTTCAGGGGTCAGAACTTTTGTATTTTTCAGTAGTGTCGAATTTGCCGCAAGTATCTCTATTCTCTGGATAAAGCCTGCCCAATGAGTAGGCCTGACAAAAGGCAGGCGAGTGTTAGGCAATAGATTTTCATTTCTAGATAAAAGGCCAAGAAGACAACAAATGGAGGTGCTTTTCCAATCAATTTCAAACTATAGTTTAAATAGGACAGATACAAAAAAAATGGCAGGAAAAATCATGAGAATAGGTCCCAAATAAACAAAATAAAACATCACTACGATGTCTCTATGCAACATGGAGGGCAACATAATCGCATTCAATATAAGACAAGCTCTAGGAACACCAATGCTTTGCAAAACCCATGTATAAGAACAAACCACGATTTCTTTTTTCAATTGTGCTTTTACTTGCAAACATCAAGCTAGAATCAACTAGGATAGCCAATTCATTTTAAGGAAAGAAAGTACATACAAGTTTTGGTGCGCCAAGTAAAGAATTCTGGAAGTTACTTTATTTTCCAAAAGTTGTCCAATTATCTCAATGGCCATGACAGAATTCATCTTCTGCAATTTCTCATGATGCTCAATCCTCTTATCATCATAAATTTCATGACCATCTATTTCCATTTCTTGACATTTAGTTCCCCATCTGGGCTTCCTTTCTGGGGTAAGTTCCAGTAAACCCTCATCGTCAAGTGATGCTTCTAGTAGCTGCCATACAATTGAAAAGATAAACTCAACCACAAGAATCCCAGGTTCACTTGCTTGCAGGCCAAAAGTCTCTGAAAGACGAAGAGCAGCATCTATTGATATCATGATTCTGTATCGAGAAGATAGTCCACGAATTAAAACTAATACGTGGCTGCAACTATGACAACCATCTATGGATTAGCAGCAAGTATTATACTAATCAGAAGTAGCATAAACTAAAAACTCCAGGAACTGAAAAGAAAATGATGCTTGAACAAAATTTATATTCCAACGGCAAAATGCTATGGAATTGAGGATGCTAGTGTATCAGAACTCAATGAAAATGTGGTATGCTTTTCCTTCGCTGTGATTTTTCTACGGTTTAGTGTTACATGGAAATTGTTGCATATTGAGCCACAGAAGTCAAAAGCCTCTAATGCACTAAAAAAGCTGTTCAGTATGATTATGAAAACGTTAAAATTGTTGACAATGAAAGGACATCCACAATTGGAATACTACACAAAGATTCTTTCAACCAAAGCATTGGATCAAAACAGCCACAAGACTTAAAAGATG